CCCCCCCCCCCCCACCGCTTCCCTGCTGCCACTAGTGAAGGTGCAGAGTTAAAAGCGCCTTTCTAAATTCAAGTGCCTCTATTCCCAAACAGCTGCCCAGTTTGGCGTGTGAATAGCGTGTAAATCTCGTCCCCGTGTCGCGTTAACGCACCGAAGTGCTGTGGCACGAGAACCAGCACCCCGTAAATCTGTCCCAGTTTGTACCAAACTCCTAGGCTGCCCGAGTCTGTTTATAAACCCTGCCCCCACCCCATTTGTCCCCCTTTTTTCAGATGTTAATAAACCCCAGCCTCTCTCCACTCTCTGTGTTTACATATGCCCTGTGGTGCTCTCCACTTAGCACGTATTCTTGTGGAAATTCACCTTGTGGGCAGCGAATGTTTAACAAAGACGGGGACCATTCATATCCCCTCCTCCCACCCCCCACGGAAAAGGAGGGCCTCTTCCATCACGATGATGTCATCTGGTTCACATATTGGCCTGACGTTTTCCTTTCTTTTCTTTTTTTTTTTTTGTGCCGACGTGTAACTTCCTGCCAGTCTGGGTCTGACACCTTTTTGTTTGTAATCGGTCGCTAACGCATCTAAACCCCGGTGAGGCTGCCACGCCCATCGTTTTGTGACAGCTGCTGGAAGAGCGGAGTTCCCAACTTTCTGATGACCACGAACCAAAGTACGTCGTGCAAAAACCTCAGACTGCAGGATCTCACATGATTAATAGGGGAAATACTGTCTACATCATAAATTGTTTGCTAACTGCGGCCATCTTGGTTCACCTTCTCTGAGGGGGTCAAGTAGTGGACCCTTGATTCTGATTCCAACCCATTTTCTGATGTCTCCCATGAATGGCGTTTGGCAGTAGTGCTCATTAGTGTCCGGAAGTCTAGCATGTCGTCACCAGTATGCGTGAGACAGTCTTGGGAATGAGGCTTGTGATTCACAGTGATTCATTGGGATGGGATCCCTCATGGGTGGGGGGCGGGGATGTACACTTCTGTCCTTTTCCCAGACCTTCCCACCCTCCCCAGGTATCTGTTTGTGAAGATGGGGAACGATTTTGAGAGAATTTTCCCCACAAACGTTTTTTTTTTCCCCCATCCAGGACTCCTGGGAAATAGATGCTGTCAGGATGGCTTTTAATAAAGTGAAATGCCTTCACATTGTGCTGCCTATCAGTTTTCTTTTTGGGGGGGGGGCAGGAGGCAGTTAGGAATCATTAAACTCAGTTGAAGTGCGAGTCAGCGTGAAGTCCCCTCAAAAATAGAAACGCAGACATTGGTGTTTGTGCGTGTGTGTGTGTGTGTGTGTGCGCCTTAACCCCCCCGCATGTAATTATGGCATCTCCTGAACAGCGCGCTGAGCTGTCAGACGACTCCTTTTGATGCCGGTCGCAGAGTATCACCGGAACCGATTTGATTTATGGCGTCGTTTTTATTTATCCCTGGGCTGGGAGAGCTGGAGAGGAGAAGGGGCACGTGCACACACACGCGCACACGCACACAATCATATCCATGGAGCTCCAGATGGGCTGATTTGATTCATGTTTGCATACATCCAGAGCTGAGTCGGGCTGACTGGGAAGAGATGCTCCTTTTCATGCCGTTCACTCCTGCTTCTCCGTTTCCCTCCTCCTGAATCCCTTCTCATCCCTTCATCCGGTGCCTTTGAATTAATCACCCCCACCCTTTTCCCCTCTGTCGTTCCACAGAGTGCCCAGCGGGGCAGTTCAAATCCGGCCCGGGGGCGGGGCTCTGTCTGCCATGCCCCGCCCACAGCCAGGCGCTCAGTGCTGGGGCGTCGGCCTGCCTCTGTCTCCAGGGATACTTCCGCGGGGACGCCGACGAGCCCACGGCGGCCTGCACCAGTGAGTACCGGCGAATCCGCTGCACCTGCCGCCTTTCGTTGTGACGTCACTTCCTATGATGCAAAATTCTGGACTCCGCCCCCCAGAGAATCTCTTGATGACGGCTTTGGCCTTTCTCATTGGCTCGCTCGCCCGCCCTCTCTCTCCCTCCCCCTGTCCTCCCCCGTCCCGCTCGCTCCCGTGTAATCCCCCTATCTCCCCGTCTCAGTCTTGTCCCCCACCCTTTGATGTTGCTCCCTCTTTCCTCCCTCCTCTGGGGGCTTTTTTTGTTCTCCTTGCTCCCCCCCCCC